TGTTCACAGAGCCAGTCACTGGATTGTCTGGTCCAGACATTATTCATAACCTGACATCATATAGCTGACGATGATGGCAGTCACTGGATTGTCTGGTCCAGACATTATTCATAACCTGACATCATATAGCTGACGATGATGGCAGTCACTGGATTGTCTGGTCCAGACATTATTCATAACCTGACATCATATAGCTGACGATGATGGCGTGGATCGTTGTTCACTGAGCCAGTCACTGGATGGTCTGGTCCAGACATTATTCATAACCTGACATCATATAGCTGACAATGATGGCGTGGATCGTTGTTCACAGAGCCAGTCACTGGATTGTCTGGTCCAGACATTATTCATAACCTGACATCATATAGCTGACGATGATGGCAGTCACTGGATTGTCTGGTCCAGACATTCATAACCTGACATCATATAGCTGACGATGATGGCAGTCACTGGATTGTCTGGTCCAGACATTATTCATAACCTGACATCATATAGCTGACGATGATGGCGTGGATCGTTGTTTGGAGTGTCTGTCACTGGATTGTGTGGTCCAGACATTATTCATAACCTGACATCATATAGCTGACAATGATGGCGTGGATCGTTGTTCACAGATCCAGTCACTGGATGGTCTGGTCCAGACATTATTCATAACCTGACATCATATAGCTGACGATGATGGCAGTCACTGGATTGTGTGGTCCAGACATTATTCATAACCTGACATCATATAGCTGACGATGATGGCATGGATCGTTGTTCGCAGTGCCAGTCACTGGATGGTCTGGTCCAGACATTATTCATAGCCTTCCATCATATAGCTGACTGTGATGGCGTGGATCGTTGTTTGTCAGTGTCTGTCACTGGATTGTGTGGTCCAGACATTATTCATAGCCTTCCATCATATAGCTGACAATGATGGCTGTCACTGGATTGTCTGGTCCAGACATTATTCATAGCCTCACATGATACAGCTGACGATGATGGCCAGTCACTGGATTGTCTGGTCCAGACATTATTCATAGCCTTCCATCATATAGCTGCCGATGATGGCGTGGATCGTTGTTTGTCAGTGTCTGTCACTGGATTGTGTGGTCCAGACATTATTCATAGCCTTCCATCATATAGCTGACGATGATGGCAGTCACTGGATTGTCTGGTCCAGACATTATTCATAGCCTCACATGATACAGCTGACGATGATGGCCAGTCACTGGATTGTCTGGTCCAGACATTATTCATAGCCTTCCATCATATAGCTGCCGATGATGGCGTGGATCGTTGTTTGTCAGTGTCTGTCACTGGATTGTGTGGTCCAGACATTATTCATAGCCTTCCATCATATAGCTGACGATGATGGCAGTCACTGGATTGTCTGGTCCAGACATTATTCATAGCCTCACATGATATAGCTGACGATGATGGCCAGTCACTGGATTGTCTGGTCCAGACATTATTCATAGCCTGACATCATATACCTGGAATATCATAAGGTAACCATATCACCTGGTCAAGTCACCTGATCAAGTCATGTGATCTTGAAAGTTTCCTGGGGACCAATTCTAACCTGGAAAACCCACAAGCTATTTGCCAAGGCAACTGAGTAAACAGCTGTAATTGAGTTTGAAGTGCTTGTACATAAATACCAACTTCTAATAACAACACACCTGTTTAGCATGGGACCTGTTCCTATACACTGCCAATTTACAATCAAAGCAATGGTACAGCATATTCCTACCACCCACCTATAAACAGGCATTAGCACTCCTACACTAAGGGAGGGTTGTTTTTGGAAGGATTAACTTGGGCCAAAAACCATATAGATGTCAACACACCTGAAATTGACATGCAATTGACACAGTGTATCTAAATATATGGTATACTTCACAGTGATTGACAGGTGGGTGTGGTTTGAGGGACCACATTGTCACTTTTACTTGTCTCAGGTTAGATAGACATGAAGAATGTAATGAGAAATTGTGGCATTGGAGAAGACAACTAATAAAATTGTTTAAAAGGAATAAAAAGGAATATTTTCTTCCAATTCTCATAAGTACACCAATATTTTTGTCTCGTTTCACAACTGTATATGTTGTTATGAGAAATTGTGACATCTTGTGAGAAAAAATCTTATGCAAATGTAAATATTTTTAAAAATGTATTATTTCTTTTTAAATTGCACAGGTTAAAGTAGTCAATTAAATATTAAATGTATTTCAATGTGTTCTAATTGTGAATGTAGATTGTTCCAAGAAATAGTGAAACTTTTTGTTCAGTAACAATTAACTGTTTCTTCCTAATTCAAATTTTTTATGTAGTGAAAGGTTCGTTGAATAAATGTCACACTGGGCCATAACCTTTCAGTTCCTTGTGAATGTTATCGGAGTGAACAACAACAGTTACCATGGTTACAAATGTTGACAGTTTGCACAGAGGGAAACCAAACTGTGCCCACCTGTTGTTGCCTAGTGATTGATGAAAATTCCTTATCATGTATGTCAGGTGTTTATTTGAAGGACTTGTGTTAGAAGAATCACAAGAAAGAAAGGGAAACCATGATTGTCCTCCTGCCTCTGCTACGCTGAAAATATCTGCACTCTGCACTATTGGCTCGGGCATTACTGCAGGAATAGAGTTTGTTTCATGATGATGATGATCAGACAAATGATTTATTTGTATTCCAGTGATGTAACACGACACAAACAAATAAATACACTAGGTGATGTACTACTAAAATACCCTCTCAATGAAGAATTGGATGTTAATTTACCTTTTTTGAGTATTATATATCCATTAACTGATTATCTGTCAATGGTGTTTGGAAGAACTTTACGAGGATACACTGTGGCAAGTCTGGACCCTCCAGCACAAAGGACATTACTTGTTTATAAATCAATTTCGACATCTCCTTGATGGACAATGCAGCTGAAATACTGTCCATATGGAGAGGTCTTCATGATAGTGTGGAATGTTTTCACAAAAACTCTCACTTAATCTCATCAAGATGAAGATCAAAGACCTCCTAAAATTATTTACGACTTTGTCAGTAACCAGCTTTGCCAAAAGGTGTGGTTTTCTGCCAGTTGAGTGATCAGCAACAATAGATGGTGCTGGTTTTATGGAGGTTGCCACAAGAGTGTGAACCATTAGGCCCTGGTTCCAGGCTATGTTACATAATCCAATCACAGTTGAGAACAGCTCCTTTGTTGTGTCTGATTGGTCCCTTTAGTACCTCATTGTGACTAATGGGTTTATGGCTGCTGGAAGGGCTTTGTGTTATCAACACCCTCATTGGCTAATTGGTGTGTAAATAATCCAATCAGATGAAAGTGTACATATGTGGGCTGCCCTGAAGGAAGGAGTGCATAAGACAGTGTCCCTTCAGGAGGTTTGCAGGTCAATATTGGAAATTGATTGTTGGTCATGTAAGGTAAATATTGAGGTGTCTGTTGTGTATTTGAATGATTTTGTTTAATCAGGAATTAGGATTGTTTGTTAGATGATGGGTGATTGTAATTAGGATGTAAACAGACATTTGTTTAGATGCACAAAGAAGAGCTAGATGAGTTTTGTTGTTTACAAGGCCCAACCTGAAAATGTGATTAAGTCACTTTCTGATATTACAGCTGATTCAGGTGAAGGCTCTGCTTCAATGATTTTGTATGATTTCGCAATTCATTGTTTGAAAAACGTGTAATTTTGTTGACAGTTGTCACCATTATTTAGTTTTAGTATTGTTTATCTTTTATGAGTTTACTGTATCTCATCACCTGTGAAACTCTCGAAGTGTGAATGTTAGGTTATGTTCGAAGAAGGGTGGTATGGTGTTATGCGTACTAGTGGTGTTCCGATTAATTGAAATAATCGAAGATTGGTTGCAGTGACCAAACGACCAAGCAATCGATCAAATTTTCTCATAATCAAACACAAACGATTTTTTAACTACATTTTTAGTCTTTGAAATACTTGACAATGGAACATATCGTTAAAGTTGTCAGTGCCTGAAAACGTGTTTAATTCTTAGAAAACTCACTTCACTAACTGAAAAGCCATGACTGAATATTTCTTGAAGACTCCAGGAAGTTTATGTTCATGATATATAAGTCATCAATTTAAAGTAGCAAGTTGCATCATGTTATACATAGCTGCAATAACAACCTGGATAGGAAAATCTGAAACGTGACGCTAACCAATTTTTTTCCATGATTGTTCGTTGGTAATGAAGCTATCATCAATTGTGAGATTTCAACCAATTCCCAACACTAATGCGTACACACACCTGCATCCATCCTCTGAGTACATTCATGAATATTGGTCTCCAAATACAACTGTTGCTTTTAAACAATCCTGGAGCAGAAATCTGTAGTTGTTTTTATAGCTCTTGTTTTTATATATCTAATGTATACCTACACCAATGATACCATGCAACTATACATGTAATAACCCTCAAACTGTCAACAGTGTTCCTGTTATATCCCAATGTGCCATTTCGATAAGTGAGGTAATGCAGGAGCCATGGGTTTACAATTTCTGATTGGTGGACTGACTGACTGACTGAGTTTGGTTTTACGCTGCTTTTACCAATATTCCAGCAACATCACGGCGGGGGACACCTGAAATGGACTTCACACATTGTACCCATGTGGGGATTCAAACCCGGGTCTTCGGCGTGACGAGCCAACGCTTTAACCACTAGGCTACCCCACCACCCCCTGATTGGTAGAAGTGAATGATTTGAACAGTATATCATTATAACATTGTGTGTCATTTAGTATGGGAGGAAGTAACACAGGTCTAAGTGCCCACCACTAAGGTGAAAAACACACTCAAGATTCAGATTAAAGGCAAATATGGCATTGGATTGTTGGATCCTAAGGAATAAGAAATTAAGGTACCAGGAATTTCCAATTCCAGGATGTGTATGAGATGAGGAATTGTGACATATCTGATATTCTTTGATTTGATTCTTTTTGGTCTTATTATTGTTTTCTTTGTTGCAGGTCAGAGCTGAGACATATCATCCAATCTGATCTAAGGATACTATCAGCTGTATTGACCAATCAGATGTAAGGATACTTACAGCAATGTCAATGCCTACTCTGCCATAGTGGGAGGTGGGATACACCATGACATACTTACAGTATAGGTGAGTACGTTGGAGAGTTGTGTCCCTTGACATGGCAGGATCTACAGATCAGTCACTCACCCACCTACCCGTATCATCAGGTGCTGTTTGCATGGGTTGATTCAGATTATTGCTTGGTATGGCATTAAAGGAGAATACGAGTGAATTGATACCCCCTCTGCTCATTAAACGTCGGGTGTTTCCGTAATAGGCGGAAATACGAGTACGTTTTTGTGTTTTTATTGCTACAAACTTTTTGTTCAATTTTAATCACGGAATGTGACTTTTAGAATATCCTTTACAATATATCTAAAATTTTGTTTTCGTTCGTATTCTCCTTTAACGTTCAAACAACTATTCAATTTTGACAAATTGATACATGTACCCCTACTGTTAGAAGTTGGACAAACCAAATAATAAAATCAACTTCCTTTTTTTTGCAAATTTTATCTCAATTGTCTGCATGAGGTGATTGAATGATCAAAGAATGCACCCTTGAAATTCTCCTGTAGTTGGCATCTGGGCAGGGAAGCCTTCTACCCGCTATCTTATTACCGTTGTTTGCAGAGTTTCAAGTGCCAGGGTCTAAAGTAACAAAGGGTGTACCTTTTACAAAGGGATATTGCTACTGTCTTTTCGAAACACAGCAATTAGAACCTGTTTTATTTGTTTGACTGCTTTGATTCTAATAGCAGTCTCTAAAGACACGTATTCTGCATGACAAATACTGCAGGCCGAATGCTTGTTCAAACTCGCATTATGAATACATAATTCCCCAAAATGAAATGAATGAATGCTTGTTCAAACTTGCATTATGAATACATAATTCCCCAAAATGAAATGAATGAATGCTTGTTCAAACTTGCATTATGAATACATAATTCCCCAAAATGAAATGAATGAAAGGCAGTGTTTTGTTCAATTTTCTGACCAGACATAAGTAGCATGTCAAAAACATTCAATTCATTTACTGACGGCTTCAATTGAAAATAGTACAATTGAAACCTGTTGAAAATTTATCGTATAAAAACTTAAACTGAATGAGTTATGATCTATCTCTATTCTACTCATTCTGCATAATGAATGTCTCCTGAACTATACTGACATGATACTGTTTTTAGTCAAACAATGCAGGTTTTAAATGGTTTCAGATCAAGACTTACCAGTTATCCAGATCTAACCCTGTACAATACCCCTTAAGATATGGTCAGAATCAGGGCGGTGGGGTAGCCTAGTGGTTAAAGCGTTCGCTCGTCACGCCGAAGACCCGGGTTCGAATCCCCACATGGGTACATTTTGTGAAGCTCATTTCTGGTGTCCCCCGCCGTGATATTGCTGGAATATTGCTAAAAGCGGCGTAAAACCAAACTCACTCACTCACTCACTCACTATGGTCAAAATCTTTGAAAACAATAAGTGTGACTTTTGAAGTATTATCTGGCACTGCTTGTTGGTGTAAAGGTAATCCTGGGCCTAAACTCTGTGAAATGTTTCTGTTTTGTTCTTGTGTAGGTATATACAACATACTTGTTATCGGAGATACACCACAGAGGTAATTCAGTCTGAAGGACTCGCAAGTGTCGAGGATTGTGTTGCTGTGATACTTTATCTCTTCATCACCTCTGTTGAGCTTTTTCAGTCTTTTTTTCCAAAACATTTGGTACAAGGTGTCTTAAATTGTGACAAATGTGCCCGCCTTGTTTGACATGAGTGCTTGGAGTGACAACTCCCATCAAAGGTGTAAGTTACGGTAATATCCAGGTTGACAGGGTTTGAAGTAAGAAATCTGGTTTCAATGGCTTTGTTTTAACCCGGAACATTTCATTAAGAAACCGAGACATCTGTTTGTGTCAGTGTTTTGTAGATAGAGGGTGTGAGGGAGGTTTCTGTGGTACTTGATCAATATTCAAAGAAATTTCTTCAACTCAAGATATTGAGATTGCATATTTGAGATATAGCTAAACTAAAGTGTTCATCACACCGAAGGTCCGGGTTCGATTCTCCACATGGGTACAATATGTGAAGCCCATTTCTCCTGTTCCTCGCTGTGATATTGATGCAATGCTGCTGGAATATTGCTAAAAGTGGCGTAAAACCCAACTCACTCACTCATTCCTGTGGACTGACTGACTGAGTTTGGTTTTACGGCGCTTTTAGCAATATTCCAGCAACATCACGGCCGGGGACACCAGAAATGGGCTTCACACATTGTACCCATGTAGGGATTTGAACCCGGGTCTTCGGCGTGACGAGCCAACGCTTTAACAACAAGGCTACCCCACCGCCCCTCATTCCTGTGGAGTGTGCTCCTAGTGAAGATGTACAAATACCCACACTTGAACATGCCCGAAGCATTTTGGATTTGTTAGCTCTGCCTGAATGGAGAATACAACATGGTGTATGTGGATTTGCTTCAGGGTATTCATACTGGATCACCTCTGCATATTTTTCACCTGCACAGATGGGTCAACTTTTGTAGTCTGGAGTTGTTATCGCCTGAAAGCGTTCAGTTTGTTCACTTGAAGTGATTTTGCACTGAGGAATGGGATGCATTTTAGAAGTGTTGAGATTTGATTTTGTTAAGAGATGGTACTTGGTGTTACCCTGCCTGGCACTGTAATGGCTCAAGAAAATATTGGTCAGCTCAGAGTCACTGGTCAGATGAACCTATGTCTGTGGTCTTGGATATAGAGCATATACCCACAGAGTAGGTCTGGTTTGATCCCTGTCACCATCACACCGAAACAAGTTAAAGATATGGTACTTGATGTTACCCTGCCTGGCACTTGGAATAAAGGGGATGAAGCAAAGACCGGTGAGCTTGGTGTCAGTACACTGTCCATGTTAAACTGCAGATTGTACATCGGGCTGCCTAGCTATATGAAACCAACATATATTCGATAAAGTACGTGTGAAGCCCATTTCTGGTGTGCCCCGCCGTGATGTTGCTGGAATATTGCTAAAAGCGGCGTAAAACCAAACTCAGTCAGTCAGTCAGTCGATAAAGTACAGGGGTGGTGGGGTAGCCTAGTGGTTAAGGCGTTCACTCATCACGGTGAAGACCATGGGTTCGATTTCCCAGATGGGCAAAATGTGTGAAGCCCATTTCTTGTGTTCCTCATCACGATGTTCCTGGAATATTGCTAAGAGTGGCATAAAAGTAAACTAACTCACTCACTCACTCACTCGATAAACAAAGTACAAGCAGCCATACAAACTTTCATGTACCACAGAATATATGTGCAGTAATGCTGGAGACTACATTTAACCCCCATTTCACCTCGCTACCTAAGGAGTTTCATCGTCTGAAAGCTTTAGTTCAAATAAAATAAGTTTGAATTGAGCCTGAACAGTTTTTTAATAATGTTTAATTGTGACTGAATCGTTCAGTGGAGTCGTATCGTCTCGAGGTTCATTTACTTTGGGGGAACATGACTGACGTTTGTACATAGGTGATACAGGCAGACAGTATATGTGGGGAAGAGACATAAAAGTTCAAATAATACCTGCTTTATCATGTTCATCTCATCGTAGACATGTTCACTTTTTGCTGCCTGGTCTGTTTGAGCTTAAACATGCTCAGGTATAGATACAGGTGCTTTTTCAAGATTCACTTAGGTAGGTGCAGTGTTTACTGTGGATATTTTGAGATGTGTTTAAAGTGAGAAGATAATTTATCCAGTATAAATATAGAATCAACAATGGTTGCATGAGTACACACAAACCGAGCTTGTTTCGTGTAATGGAGATTAACAACCATTCTCAGTCCATCGCTAACTTTAACTAGGTGGGGTAGCCTAGTGGTTAAAAGCATTTGCTTGTCATGCCGAAGACCCGTTTTTTTAAAATTATTATTAATGATTTTTATATACAGAACAAAAGAAGGATCAGGAATATTTTGGGTGATGTTTTTGTGAAATTGTGTGTTGAGTCTTCACTACAGAAACATATTCCCCAAAACATTCATGATCGATAACGCGGGTCTTGGGGTCCATGGATGACCCCCCCGCGTTATTAGACACCTGCGTTATAGTAACGATTACATAACTCGGAACAAAGGCCAAGTAAAATCATATTTTCCATGGACATAACAAAACTGGTATTTCATGTATTGTGCCCAGTCAAAACTGTATCGTATTGTTGGAGGTGAAAAAAAAAACAAACTTTGTAAATGAAAATAGATGTATGTACATGAAACTTGCAATCAAAAATCACAAGACATGATAATTCAGTTGTTGTTCCTGTCATGCTACCTGTTATTCAACTAAGCCGGAAATAGCAATCAGCTGGGCACAGATCGGTGTTTTGTTTCAATGTACCGGTGATTCAGTTAAAAACGATCCGAAAATACAACATCAAAGAATTTCTATTCCATTATCAGAATAATTTATATGTCAAGCAGTTATTCTAACAGAGATCTTATATATTGCTATCGTATAAGTATAATGCATGTTTTCTACAAACATATTTAACATAATAATTAGCATTGCTAAGCACTTTGGGTTACCTCAGCCTGGATACATTTTACGTAGGAGACAGTTTGACAAGTCACCCCTGACTTCCCGCAGTACGTGCCACTTTGATTGTAAAAACAAAATGTCGGTAATTAATTGTCAAATATGACTTCAATGAGTAAATAACGTGGGTCTTGGGGTCAAGGATGACAAGGCTGTGATTGCAAGTGATTGGTGAGAAAAATGTGAAATTGGTGCTATCGCGGTAGGCGCGAAAAACGGACCCTCACGAATGTGGTAAGCGGGCGTTGTATGGAATGAGGTAATGCCATTTCACTCACGGTTTCTCCGTTGTTATTGTAAACAGTTTTAATGATTGAAAATGGGATTGAATTTAATCAATAAAATGTGTTTTCTGACATCATACATTCCCAGATGGCGGTGTTTACCCGTGCAATTACGCGGTGTGTTGCATCATAGCAAACGTTGTAAGTACTCGTCTGATGATTGACATGTCTTAAGGATAAAGTCATTATGATGTTTCGCTGTTCATCTATTATTATTGAA